AGTACCAAATAGTGGGAGAAAAATAAGGACAAAAACTCTTGCCAAACTGTAGTCAGGGTGTTTCAGGGCAACTGGACAGTACGATGGCAATAACGGCACTGTGCCCAGACCAAGCGGCACAGGGGCAGCCATACATCACGCCCATGGGTGGCAGGACATATTATTTAAAATCCAGAAACCATCACATCCAAACCCAATACTGTCCCCTTTACAACGTCACACAGCTAAGCTGGTCTAACCCTGCAAGGATTAGTATCGGCTTAACAGAGCTCACACATGGTCAAATTAGGATTGCACTATCAGGAATACTGATAATACGAATGGGATCCATGTCTTATGCCCATGGCAGACGAGGAAATCTGAAATATAAGAATTAATCATTGCCCTGTTGAGATTGTTCTGTGATATCTGTGATCGGTGTTCCCTCTAAGCTGAGTCAGTGTGAGATATCTCACAGTTTTTTACCCTCCAGCTCACACATTTTTTTCTTAGCTCAGAAAGGATGGGGCTCCAGAGCAAACTAATTTATGCAGTAGGCAAATTGCTCGCTCACGACTTTAATGCCAGTAGCTCACAAAGTTGAATTTTTGCTCACAGGACTCCACAGCTTAGAGGGAACATTGTCTGTGATACAAAATGTTAGAGGCTGTCAAGTAAGGTATTTCTTAGTCACCTGCAGTGTCCTTTCCCTCATGGATACCAGTGTATAGAAGATGTTTCTATGACAGGGTCTACCTACTGGTCAGGCTGGGGGAGGGGGTTAGACCAGTTTTTGCTTGCGTGCATTGTGTTAGTGGGAGGAGGAGGAGGAGGAGAACAGTTGGTTTTTATACCCTGCTTTTCTCTATCCTAAAGGAGTCTCAAAGCAGCTTACGCTCACCTCCCCTTCCTCTCTCCACAACAGGCACCTCGAGAGGGAGGCTGAGAGAGCTCTGAGAGAACTGTGACTGGCCCAAGGTCACCCAGCTTGCTGCATGTGGAGGAGGAGGTGGGGAATCAAACCCGGCTCTCCAGATTAGAGTCAGCCACTCTTAACCACTGCAACATCCTGGCTGGGAGGTGGGAGCTAGAATACGGCCAGTCAAGAAGTCAGGAGTCCAAGTTTCAGGAGGGAGGTGGGTGAACTGATGCCGTTCAGAAGAACAGTATTGCTCTCCTGGGTATCTGCATGCTCTTCTATGCCTGCATACTTGCAGACCTACTCTCTTAACAACAGTCTCTCCTCACAAAGGAAATGGCCCTGCAGAAGCAGTCCCTGGAACTCCTCACCACTCAGAGAAACAGGGAAGGATCACCTAGACGATCCTGGAATAACAGCAGCTAGGTCATGTTTGATTTCCTTCTAGGACACAGAGCAGCCAATTGTCACACTGTCTCCCCTTGACCTATTTTCTGCTGTTTGTAAAGAAACAGACGGGAGTTTTTCTAGTGCTCTGTCTCCTTGCGTCAAGGAGGAAGGTTCCAACTCACACAGTATATAGGCTGAAGCCCTTTTCCTTGCCAGAAGATCCACTTGTTGACAATACCAACTTTTGGAAAGCGGCTATGCTAGGGCAAAAACCACTGTTTACCAGCGTCTCAGAGATATTGAGCTACAAAAATCTTATGCCGCACTTCCGCCTCTTTACAAATCTCTGAAATCCAAAACATTAATGTCTGTTCCTTTATACCTAGCTAATATTTCCAACCCAAATCATAGATGGGCCTTTTCCAGAGCCAGATTTGACACTTTTCCATCTGCAGTTCTTTCCGGAAGATTTCAACGTATCCCCAGACATTTGAGATTTTACTCATGCCCTTCCGAGTCAATAGAGACCCTCCCCCATATATTATTTCATTGCTCCCACTATGCAGAAGAAAGAGCCCTTTTAATTACGCCTTCATTAAGGTCATTTAGGTTTCAAGGACAATTAGTAATCCAGTCCGAGGAACTTTTGCTGAAACACCTACTGGAGGACAAATCCACGGTTATTTCAAGGAATGTTGCTAAATTTCTTTCCATTATAAAGCGTAAGCACCTCCTTAATACTCCTTGAGATGTTTTTTCTCTGTAATGCCTTACGACAATCTGGAGACTGTTTTTGATTCTGTATGCTGTTTGATGGGTCTTTGACTGTAATAAACTGATTGATTGATTGATTGACAATACATTATAAGTCCTTGCTTGAAATGGGAGACTGGGTCTCCCGCGTACAAGAGAGCGTACTTGCAAGCAAACTCCCACTTTGCCATTTCAAGACAGAAGTCTGCGAGGACCAATCAGAAGGCATCTTATGGGGTGAGGATCTCTTTCAAGGCATTCTTGCTTTCCAGGAACAAAACAAAGAATAGAACTTTGATCAGGGAGACTGCCAGGTGAACATCACTAACTGCTCAGGAACTCTGCTCTTCTAGTAGGACATACATAGTCAAACCCACTTCAAGAGCTGGTACAAGAATCTGACCCAAAGAAATAGTCAGCCAGCTGAATAATAAGCATGGATTCTTGTGAACGTAACATATTGATAGATGATGTTTCCAGGTAAGTTCTCTTCATTGAGTGGGCTTTCCAGAAATTCCCACAAGAAATTAGTACTACAAGGGGATCATACAGCCTGATAATTCCATTAATCATAAAATCAAAGTTTGCCCCAGAGGTATGAAATTTGGCATGAAGATTTTCTCTAAGGGGTACATCTGGCCAGATTTCAGAAAAATCTGATAAAGGATGACATTTATATTTTTTATCTGTCACTGTATCTTACAGTAAATGTGCCGGTCCCCAGGCAGATGACTCCACACACATATATGAGGTGTTTCTGCAGACGCAGAAAATTAACCACAAAATAATAGTAATAAAAAATCCCTAAAATCCAGGCTGGTGAGGTTGGAATATTCTCCAGAGGGAAGAGGACATTGAGAGCGACTGAGTGTAAATCAAAGGGGGGGAAAAACGGATAGGGAGGGGAGGAGAAATTAGTTCACTCCCGTCCCTGAGAGATCAGAGGATCTTGGAGAGGAAGATTTTGAGGGGTGGGGTGGGACTCCCCAATCAATCTCCTCTCAGTTCCTTGTGGACACCAAGCAGGCATGATTAGGGCACTGGACTAGGCCAGTGGTGGCGAACTTCTGGCACGGGTGCCAGAGGTGGCACTCAGAGCCCGCTCTGTGGGCACGCGTGCCATCGCCCCAGCCAGGCCCAGACCATCATTAAAGTGTCGAATTCTCTGCCAAATAATTGTAAGTAAATGAAAGCATTTGGGATTGCTTTCCTTACTTTGTTTGGGTCATCTTAAGTTAATGTAGGGGTTGTTTTTTCTAAAGTAAAACCTCAGTATTCAGGTTAAATTGCCGTGTTGGCACTTTGCGATAAATACGTGGGTTTTGGGTCGCAGTTTGGGCACTCGGTCTCTAAAAGGTTCGCCATCACTGGGCTAGGCTGAGAGAAAGCCAGGTTTGGACCCCTGCTCAGTCGTAGGGGCAGCCTGCGTGACCTTGGGCCCGTCGCCTTCACCTGCCTCACAGGGAGACTGAGAGAAGGCTGTTGTGTGAGATCCTTATGTTTTGGGGGAAGTTGGGGCATAAATTAGGGGTGGGCATTCAGATATTCCCCAGCCAGGAATTCATTGTTTTCGGTTGGCTGACAGATATCAGAAATTACTCCAAACACTCCCAAAATTCTGGGAGTAATTAAACTTTATCTCTTGGGATTTGGGGGGTGTTTTGGGGAGGCCAGGAGTGGGGGGGGGAGAGAAGCTGGCCCCAGCAAACAGCTGTCAGGTGGCATGTCGCCCTTTCAATTTTAAAGGGCTATCAATTTCTATGAGAGTAAGCCAGACCTCCAGAGCTAAGATTTCCCCCTCACTCCCGCTGCCCCTGGGGTGGGTGGGAAAGGAAAGGGAAACGGAAAACGTGGGCCCCAGAGTCTAGAATCTGGAAAGAAAAACGGAAACAGAATCCCAAACTGAGGGCACTTCCAAATATCTGGGATGATGGAACTCATGCCCCCCCCCAAATCCATATCTGAGATTAATACAATTTTTAAGTGCACATCCTAAATACCTAAATAAATAAATACTTACTGCCTACACGAAGCATGATTTCTCCTTTTAGTCTAAACTTCCAGAAAATTCCATGCCTGATCATTTGTTCAGTGGAAATCCTTTGTATATTATGCTACACCTTAGCCATCCTTCGTCATCCCCCCCCCCCCCCCCTTTGACCCAGAATGTATCCTGA